ATGGTTCATGTTGGATAATGTTAAAGGCTTCTGGAATAATGTCAGAGTCAGGTTAGGATTAAAATATTCTAAATGACAACAGTTGGAACCCTCATGTTCACGACGGGTGTCATCTTAGTTTTATGCAAACCTCTTCATATAAAGTGTTACTGGACATTGTTGACTTCCCTGATTACTGTCTTCATGCTAAGTTAAGCACAGTTCATTAGTTTTTGTTTTTACCTCTCCCAGGCCTGGCAGATCCCCATGTGAAGAAGTGAAAGACTTGGAAAAAAGGGTGAGGCACAAAAACAAGAAGGAACAGCTTGTAGAACTGGAGAGTCATAAATAGATAAGACCTGAAAGGAGCGTGTTTGGAGGGGTGGTCCCACTCTTGAAATTCAGATAATTTATCTCCAAAATGCTAATGTAAAAACTTGGGTTTGAATCTGCCCTGGGTCATTTGCTCTGCCTCTTCCTCTGCTCTCTTATCGTCTGCACTGTCCTTCCATAATAAAGACTACAAATCCCCCTAACAAACTTCCATGGTTTAAATAAGCTAATTAGCTTCAAGCGTCACATTTGGCTAATGTACAGATATAAGAGTGGTAATAATCTTCTCACTGGCTCTGGCAGTGAAGCAAATAAGCACATTTTCGCAAAACGCGTCTCTGAGAATAACACTCAAACCTGCTCGTCTCACGGCGCAGTGTCTTTCACATACGTTTGTCGTCCTCCCTTTATCCTCCACCCCACTTCCTCCCAGAACTCCTTACGTAATGAAATATTCTAAAAAGATCTTTCTAACTGCTGTCAAGCTAGAACATTACAATATATCACATTAAAGGTTGGTTATAATATCACAGATGTTTGTATGCCATTCATGTTTAAATTGAGCGTGTGATTTAATGTAGTGGTTTGGTTTGTAAATATTATAGATATTTGAGCTCACAGTATGCATCACACATTTGATGTATAAGATGAAGCACTTTTTATCCCCACTGCTATGTAATACCATGTGTGACGGTCACATTTGTGTGTGCGAGACAAAGGGCGAGTGTGTCTGTATATTTGTATATGTTTATCTATGTAAGAAAGGGACTGCGTGAATGTAGGCATCTATCTCTTTATGTGAGCGAGTGTGTCTGTGTGCATTAGGGTCTGCAGGTTGCTTATATGCTATTGATTATAAATAACATTTTCACTGTAGATATGAGTGCATTTTTCCAGTCTTTGACGTTGATTCACATTTTTCTAGAAGAGTTTTTTTTTTCATTCTGCACTGTAACCTTTGACAATATAAAAGATGGACGTAACTACTGTGACATCAACTCAACAGTTTCCAAAGTATGCGATTTGAAGCTTTGAGATGAACGTTTCCACTGTTGCAGCCTTGCTTGCAAGAAATTGGATGTGATGACAAACGGGTGGGTCTGACTATGACACTGCTTGCTCATTGGCTACTGACTGGTAATTGACAATTCAACTGATGAGGTTTTTTGAAACATGGTATGAGCAAGTTTTACAAATTAATTCATTTTTATTTACCCAAATCGAGCGACTAAGATAATGAACTCAGCAACAAAGTGTTTACAGAGCTCAAGAAAGAGCCCTTCACGGGACAGGAAGTGTTTTTTGCAACCGCAGCTATCGTCATCTGGTGGCCTTCAGATAGAATACAGGTTTTTAGGCACTTCCACATTGGCTTCATTTTTTCTGACCAGGAAGCTATGTCCATCTTTTTTATTGTCTATGACTGTAACACATGATGAAACACATGTATGGTCCCCATATCTGTAGATACAAACCATGAAGCAATCAGTAGCCATCTTTCATTGCGCTTGTAGTGTTTTAGTGAACTGCATGCCAGAAGTGACTACTGTCCGCTCATATGGTAATATAATTTCAAAGCCAAAAGAATAAAGGACATATTTTTTGTAAATGCTTGTTTATTTTCTCCACTTCCTTCCTTGTCTTTTCTTTCAGGGTCTAAAAGTTTGCTCATGTGTGTGTGCCATCAGCTCTTTGATCTGTGATCTGAACCTGAAGTATGATTGCATTACAGGTTTAACAGGATCTTTCATGTGATTCAAGTACATGTTACACCTGACTGTATCGATTTGCAAAATGTGACAAGTGACTTTTTTTTGTTATAACCAAAGATGTGGCAACTAAAAAGTAAACACCTAGATTTTCAAAATAAAACCTGTTTTGGGAAGCATATTTTGCATGCACAACACATTTGGAGGCTAGAATGAAATGGAAAGAGTTAAGTGTCTCAGCATATTCAATAGGCTTAAATAGAGACGTTGCTGCTGAGGTGACTATCTGTTTTCAGCTTAAGTAATCTGTGTTGAATGTAGACAACTGGGACTCTTGAAAATATTCTCATAGCAGTTCACATTTTAAAGTCTTAGAAAGCACTTATTAAATACAGTATTGTGCAATGGTAGTTTGCCACCACTCATTTCTTTATATTTGGTTAGTAAAACAGCAATTTTTGGAAATAAGTAAGCAAGTTATAATGAGCTTGAAGGGTTATTTAGTTTGACAACCTTTATTCATCAGCACAGGTTGAATTCTCTTAGGCTTCTCTGGGCTCTGGTTCACTTAAGACACGTCTTTCAGATACTATTAGATACTCATGTGTAGTCGATAGTTTGTTTGTTTTTTTTAGGCCTGCCACTTTTTCTTTTGTCCTCCACTTGTCCATTTTCCCCAGTTTTTATCAGCATCACACACCTTCTGATTTATGCCAAATGTTTTGCCAAATAGCTCTTTGAGAATCACCTTGTTGGTGAAAAAAAACTATTTTATGTGTGCAAAACTGTGATATCTCTGGCATTTCTTTTGTAGATTCAACTAAAAAAAGTGGAACAAATTACATGTTTTTCATGACAGGCTGCTATTAAATCTAACAAAGTGCCTAAAATTGGTTTGTCAGTTATACGTAGATAGAATACTGGTTCACACTTTGAACCTATTATTCATAGGTCAGTGTTAAGTGACATAGCAACGAAAAGGGCTTGCTCTAAAGATGGGCAGATACAAGGACTGCACTGAAAATGAGTGAAAAAGCAGCAAATACCCAAAGAAAAACTTTGAGAGATGTTCAGAAAGCCTGGGTTACTGCTAGTTCATAAAAATTATGAAGTTGATCGTATCATTCACTTCTTCTTTAATATTAATAGGCTTCCTTCATCGATGTGTTCTATTCACCTCTTACATACATTTTTTTGGTAGTTACTTTAAACCTTTAGCTAAAAATAACAAATAAATTAATTAGGGTAAAGCTTTTATTTTCTAGTTTTTATGCAGTCTAAATCCCCAAAGCTGTAGCTTTGATTCAGACTTAATCAAGATCCAACACTTGAAATCTCTGGTGTATGAATAGCCTCTCTTTTGTTGTGAATTGCTTGCATAGTGATTCCCAACCACACAACAGTGTCTTCCCCACATTATGCAGAATCAAGTACTACTGAATACAAGATCCACACAGACGTGTATAAGAAGGAAAATCTTGTGCTGGGACCCACAGGAAGAAGAGGTGAAGAGCTGAGACAACCCCCACCCAGCAACCCCTCCAGTGCTTTGCTGCTCTGTGCTTCTCCCTGCCTGTTGCCTAGCAACCTAACATCACAGCTCCCTTGCCTGTGATTGATCAGCAGTCTCTGGGCTTGCTTACCCACAATACCTTGCTGGCAAATAGACAAGCAGTCACCCCCTCCTTCAACCCTCAGCACACGTTAAATTATATTAGAAATGGGAGAAGTCACATGGTGGCCTTGTTCCAGCTCAGATCCAGTGTATTGTTCTCATCATTGTCGGAGGATCACGAAGGACTGCCAAATGTTTGTTTAGCCTCAACTTAACACAGCACCTGCTGCAGGTGTTGTGTGTGCAGCAAGCCATGAAAATATTTCTATACATGAATAGGCTGGCCAATAATGCAGAACTTCCTCTTTCTCCAGTCTGAGCTCAGCCTCACCCATAGAAGGTGTCAGTGTGTTGCTAGCTCACCACTGCTCTCTAGAGGTCCACTGGAAGAACTGGTGGGGTGTATTAAAGAAAACGAGTTGCATGCATGATGACACAGCACTTAGTCAGACTGTTGTCTAAATGGAAAAGCACAGATGTGTGCTGACATCTAAATGTCCAGATTAACTTTACAGATCTTTTTTTCAGCTATCACTGCAGAAGAAATTAGTTCACCTCGTGTTTTTCACATTGACAAGGAACAAAGGTTCTTGGCTAAACCAATGTCACAGCTTATACTGAGGAAGAAAAGAACACACTGATGACGTAAAAAAAAAAAGTATTCTAACACCCATGATCATGTCCAGATATATCAGCAGCATGCAAGTGAAATAAATAGATGCCACCTGCTGGCAGCATTATATAATTACACAATTTAAATTTGATTTTATGAACTTTTTGAGTGTACAAAAGACAGAGCACAATTAATAAAGAACTCTTAAACTACAGTGGGTGTTAAAATTGATTTTATTCACACTTTCATGAAAATGTGCATTGTGTAAAAAGGAAGATACAGAACACGTGGCCCCCAGTTTTTGACAGTATTGATTATTCTCACTGGAAAAAAGCAGAAGTAGTTTCATCACTGATGTTCACAATTATCACTGTAAACTAATAAGTAATGCACAGACTGACCATTCTCTAATCTAAATATATGCTCTTTTAAGAGCTTAACTTAATGGTGAACATTTTGTGATAGTTTTAGGGGTGAGACATGTACAGTATATTAGCAGTGCTTTGAACAAAATACTAAGATCAGCATGGTAACATGTCAGCACTGCTAACATGCTGATGTTTAGCAGTTAGGCTATGTAACGTTTGTTATCTTCATTTGGTTTCTTAGCATGCTAACATTTGCAAAATAGCACAAAATACAAATCAGAGTTGGTGGTAATGAAGATATCGGACCATGTTACATGTCTTCTGATAAGCTGTTTGCTCATTTTCTCTCTGTTGGCATGTCTTTGACTATTTTGTACAGTCAAAACAAATGCCTGCTGTAGCTGTTTGAGTTGTGAGGGTTGACTGTTATAGTAATCTTGAGATCTCTAACGAAAACCACAAAAAAGCTTTGTAAAGTTAAGCTGAACTACAGAATGAATAAATAATTCAAGGTTCAATATAAAAAAAAATTCGTCCTAACTGTGGCAGGGGACCTTCCTGCAATGTAACACACGCCTATAGTTTTGCTTTTTAGGATCTTAGCTCTTAAAATTATGGGCGGACTTACCATAGGCTCCATTGCCTTGTACAGACAAGGCAATGGAGCCTATGGCAAGTCCGCCCATAATTTTAAGAGCATCCACACTCAAGGACAGCTGTACCACCTTAAATATGCCCAGGCACAGCACAGAGCGATCATACTGGCAATCAGGGTAGGAATGGCCTTGTGTTAGTATGCACTACTAGTGGTTGTGTGCATATGCACCTGTAGTCTTGGTAATTTAGAGAACAAAGCTTTCTAATAGATGTTTAAAGCTGCAAAAGCCTGACCAAACAGTAGCTGAAAGTGAACGGTCACGAGATGTAAAACAGTTTCCTGGTCCAAAGTCACATGTGCTTGTGCCTGTGACCATACCCAGCCCTTTGGCAAGCTGCAAACACTCCTACAAGTTGTTCTAGGTATGCTAACATGGGAAGATTAACTTTCATGTCTCTCACTTGACAGATGATAAACTTCTTCGGTAAGCCGATCACATGCGATACAGACAGAATTGAACAATCATTACCATCAACAATAAGATGGTGGCACAACACAAAAAAACCCCAAAACAAAACAAGCACCTCCAAATCTAATTTGACTTGTCATAGATGCCAGTCACAACCAGAATGACCAACATGCGGTAATGACCAAAGACTGTACAACAAGCCATAAACTGTATGCTATATAGTTACAGGTACAGAAACACTGATTGATTGATTGACTGAGTGATAAAGATGAACTTTTTCCTAAATTTTTATACTCTTTAGTCCAAGTTGACGTTCCTAGAACAGTTTAGAGACAACGTGAACTTAAATTTTACAGTGCTGTGAAAAAAAGAGTATTTGCTCTCTTCCTGATTTCTTTAGTTGCCGCTGGGGTTTTTGTTCTTTGCATTTTTGTCACACTTGCATGTTTCAGTTCATCAAACAAATTTTAATATTAGACAGAGAAAAGCTGAGTAAATTAAATTTCAATTATTTAAATGATGATTTCATTTATTAGGATTAAAAAAAAGCTATTCAAGCTTACTTGGTACCATGTGAAAAAATAATTGCGTCCTAAACCTAAAAACTGGTTGTGCCGCCCTCTGCAGCAAGAACTGCACTCACACATTTACACTAACTGGTAATGAGTCTTTCACATTGCTGTGGAGGAATTCAAACTTGCTTTTCTTTGCAGAATTGTTTGAATTCAGCAACAGTGAATGGTTTTTTTGAGCATTTAAGCTCATGCCAAAGCACCTCAATCACTCCTCAGCACCTCGGCGACTCCAAAAACATCATTTGGGGATTTTTATTTAGCCATTCAGAGTTTTTACTGATGTGTTTTGGATCTTTGTCCTGCAGTATAACCCGAGTGAGCCTCAGGCCACAAACGGATGGCCAGATATTTAGGATTTTTGGAGTCGTCAAGGTCCTGAAGCAGCAAGAAGGCCCAAACCATCACTCTACCAGTACCATGTTTGTCAGTTAGTATGATGTTCTTTCTATAACATGCTGTGTTATTTTTATGTAATAGGACTCAAACCTCCAACAATTTCAACTTTGGTCTTGTCAGCCCACAGAGTATTTCACCAAAAATCACCAATCATGTGGTTCACCAAGATGTTTATTGGCAAATTCTAATGTCTCTTTGGTTAGCGATGATTTTCTCTTTGGAACTATCTCACAGATGCTATCTTTGCAATACTGTCTTTCTTATTGTTGACAATAGAGACCTGGATACCTTTTTTCCCTTAATAACTGAAATCATAATTTCTAAACTTTATTGTTTATTTACTGATGTCTGAAAAATGTAAAGAAGACAAATGTTCACAGCACTGTACCATCTATCTGTCTTTTTCTGTGTCAAATACGTGACTCATTCTGTCTTTGAAAGTGCGTTTATCATGAATAAAGCAAACTTCAATTCTTGACCGCATATTTCCACATGTTAACTGATCTCTCTTTTCAGACACTCTTTGATGATGTCATTTGACCATGTGTCTGCGGTCCTGTTTCCTCCTGTGCAGGCTCTGCTCTCTCCTCCCCTGTCTGCTCCTCAGACTCAGCAGGATGCTCAGCCTGAGTGTCATGACAGTCTGGATTGTTCCGGAGGTCTGTTGAATGAGGTTGTTCATCAAGTACACCAGCAGGGGCAGTGTTAGCATCACGCGTCTCTACATGTGAGCAAGTTTGGAGTGGCAGGGACTCCGAGAAATGGCGAGGAGTGCTGTGCTGCTCTGTTTGGCAGTGGAGTTCTGTGTTTAGTTCTAATGCAGACTCTACTGTGGGGAGCGTGGGTGTGCTGCTGACATTTTCACTGTGGAAAGCAGGCGTGTCGCTCACAGAGCTGTTTCTTTGATAGTGCTGCATGGGTGGAGTGGTGTGGAAGAGGTTACTGAGGTTCATGAGTGTGCTGTTAGAGTAACTCATCACAGAAGGAAGTGGAACAGAGTAGGGTGCAGGATTTGTTCCATGTAGTGAACAATCCCACTCTTCCTCCTCATCGTCTTCATCACCTTCTTCTTCTTCCTCCTCCTCCTCTTCTTCCTCATCATCTTCCTCATCCTCATCCTCCTCATCTTCTTCTCCCTCCTCAGGGTCAATTGTTTCCAAGCTGTGTGTGCTGCAGTCCGACAGCCCACTGCAAACACTGCTGCCATCTTCATCATAAGCTTCATCTTCTTCTTCCTCGTCGTCATCTTCTTCCTCTTCTCCCTCCTCCGCCTCTTCTTCCTCTTCTTCCTCTTCTTCCTCATCCAGATGTGACTCAGTGTCACCTGTGTTCTGAAGCTGCATGATGTGAATGTGCTGCGTGCTGCTCATCAGTGGAAACTGCAGGTTTGGCTGCTGCTGCTGGACCAAGGTGGAGTCTCCGTGGTAACTGTTGCCATTGGTTACAAGCTGCTCTGGCTGCTGATAGTGCTCCTCGCGGCCCTTCTCCAGCTCCAGCTTCATGATAGTGTGCAGGAAGTGGGTGCGCACCCGGACCGGGTTGAACTCCAGGCGTCCCGTGGTGTTGCTGCAGCCTTCCTTGGTGCAGCCACAAGGGAAGGACATGCGATCCACCTACAGACAGAGTGATACACAATGCAGAACACAAGCAAATTAAAGTGAGCTGCCAATCAAAGCTGATCATGCATGAAGAGAAACAGCAGATTCTACTCAGAGTGTTATTAATATCATTAAACAAGAGCGTGCAGCCAAACTTTGTGAAGCAAGAACACCTTAATCACTCAAGATTTACTTTTATGTGTCTGAAAAAAAGACTATCATGCCTAAAGCTCCAGATCTTTTTGTATGAATTCAGTAATGCATAACACAAAATAACATTCCTGATGTTTTAAGAATCAGAAGGACGGGGCTTTAAAACGTCCATCTGAGCATGCACAGACTGTACATAAAAGATGGACATGTGACAGCTCTCTGCCACTGGTCCCAGTTTTGTAGCCTAAAGCATTTTGATCAGCATCATCTCAGTTTTTTATTATGTGATGTCACAAATGTGGGGTGGATGTGAAAGTGAAACGGTGGACAATGCACACTCATACTTTAGCGATGCATAGAGTTAGCTGTTGCTAAAGCATAACTTTATTTTTCTTCAGGACACAAATAAAAACATCATGTAGAAAATAAATATCTAGTTCTATTCAGTAAGACTTGAAATCAGCAACTTGCAACCACAAACTCATCAGAAGAGTGTTCACTGAAAACATGAACCAAGGGAACAAGGGACTTCTTACACTTTGACTTCTACACGACTAGCTGAAAGTGATGTGAAAGAATGTGTCATCCAAGGGAGGACTTTGTTTTGAAGTTGTTTTGCTTTGCATGTTTGCTGTGTTTTACTGTGTTTCTATGTGGTGTGTTTTATTCTTATGGTTTTATTGCATGTTTTTATTGTATATATTAACTTGTCCCGGTGAGACTCTGCCCACTTCTAATCACTAATTGGATGCATCTGGGAGGGCACAGAGGTGAATAAGAGGGCCTGGCAGACCACAGAGAGGAGGCATGAGAGACAGAGCAGGAGAGATGGTGGAGTAGATGGTGGCAGGCGGCGTTGGTGCAGGTTGGTGTGGGTTGGTGTGCAGTACGTGGCGAGGGCATACGATGGCTAGTGCGTGAGAGGCAGAGGGAGCTGTGCTGCTTTTGGAATAGCTGGATGCCAGAGGATGCTATGGTGGGGAATTAGTTGGCAGCGAGACAGCGCCCTACCTCCCACGGCAAGACCACAGTGCTGGCGTGACACAGAAAAGCAGCGGGCAGAGTTAGGAGCTATGCCCATTTCCGGTGTAAGCCCCACGTGCTGCAGTAACCCGGCTCACTAGAAAGAACGGTGACTGTCGCTGCTCCCCTCTTCTAGTATTCTGGAGTGGAGAGACAGACGGGAACGGCTGGTGACGCCGCCGGGCTTTTCCTTGCCCCGCTCCGATTTCCTGGATTTTAACGTTGTGGCTGACGACACTGGACTTTTAATGCTTATGTTTTATTCGTTTTTATTGTGTGTTCTCCCTGGCCACGGTTGTTTTAATTCATTTTAAAATTTTAACAGTTTTTGTAAAAGAAATTATATTTTAGTGATACAGTTTTTATATAGTTCTATTCCCTTGGCTGCTCCACTGCTCCGTCCGTTTTTTGGAGGGTTTCCCTCCTTAGAATAACAACTGTTAATCCACCATTACAAATGCAGGTATAAATGGCAATGAAATGGCACCAGAGACCGTTTTTCAAATAATTCTTAAAAATAACTGCTTAAATAAGTAACTTGTGAAATTTGAAAATGGTTACAGACTTGTTCTAGAGTCTGTACCCTGCCTCTCACGGTTTTTGGGATAGACACCAGGACTCTAAACTGGAAAACTGATGGATGGGTGGAAACTTGTATGCCAACTTATGCAATGAAAATAGCCAAATTTAACATTTTACTGCACAGACAGACATTGACAACATTTTAGTATTATAGCTGGGCCTCACCACAGTTCCATTTACCTGGCACTTAATGCCGGCCAGGCTGCAAGCACAGGTCTCAGGATCACATATTCCCTGGCAGCGACACCCACACTCCTCCCGGGACATGCGCAGGGCACGCAATTCGTGCTTTTCTTCCACATCAATGCGACGGACACCAGAGGCACGGAGAAGAGTACGGCGCCTTCTAGTAGTCAGAGGCTGGAGGAAAAAGTAATCGTCCACCTCTGTGTTGTCCACATCCAGGTCATCTTCAGAAATGTCATCGATTGTGAGTGTATCTGCTTCCAAAGATGACACAGTACCATTCTTGGTCAGCTGGAGGATAGGAAAACAAATAGAAACAAACAAATTAAAACTGAACCATGGATATTAGCCCACACAGAAATTATAACCCCTGGGATAAATAAAGATTCATCGACTCCTTGTACTGACTTTGAGTTTGATGGCATTAAGTTTCTCCTCTTTCAGATGGTCCCTCAACATCTTCCGGTGGCTCCGTTTCTGTTCCATGGCAAACTCCCTGAGAGTGAATTGCCTCACCCCACTGTGATGTGGTGACATCCCCAGGGTGCTGCCTCCCTGTGTGGGTACACTGGTAAAACCCTGCCGCCGGTTGAAATAGTAGACTGTGACGCTTTCAAAGTGCACATTATGACCTCGTAGTCGCTTTGACTGCTGCTGGATGGAGGCTAAGATTAAAACCGAGAGAGTTGACAGTTACTAAATCAAAAAACAAACCAAAAAACTCCAAAAGATTTGTTGATAGAGGCGCTACTAAATGCTAGTTAAAGCATAACTTTTGCCAACAAGTTTCCATGACTAAAGCTTTAAACAGAGTTTAAATATCTTATTATGTGACTGTAGGCTTTAAACAAGGGCATATTAAAGTGTAATGTAACAGTATAACAAATACAGAAAAAGCCATACTGACCAGGCTATACACACTAATTGCCTTTATTCCCCTTTGTTTCTTTTTCTATTTTTGTAACATTAAGTAAGACAACCTTGATGTAGCAACAAAACTACTTATACTTTTGTGGTTATATGCTGGAGTGAACATAAGAAAAAGTGGTCCCAAACTTGATCCTTGCGGGACTCCACACCAGATGAAGGTATATGACTCCCAGTTTAAACATAAAATGGTAAAGAGGACACAAACCAGTTGAGATAAAACATTGTTTTCTTTACTCATAAATCAAATTGTCACCACATATATTAGGTTTAAAGTAGAGGATTAAAGGAGTCAGCAAATTGCAGATCACAACAGCAATTTCACTTTGTTAAATGAACACAAAACAGAAGTTATGTGGTAGTGATGTCTTACCATCCAGCAAGCTGGAGGGGACAGAATGGTTGAGGCTGTCACTGCTGTTACCACTGTCACTGCAGGATACCTCATCATCATCAGACCCTTGCACTGACAAATAAGGGGCGGGGTCATCATCAAGCTTCCTCTTCAGGATCCCACTCATCCTGTGGTTCCTCCAACTGGTTAGACCTGAGCAAAGCACATTTAAATTTATAGAAGACATCAATTTAATTTGTACTGGACATGGAAATTATTTGTATTTTCAAACACACAAGCAAACTTGTTTTCATGGAGTCCTTTCATTAAAAAACTGCAAACTATAACTTCTGTAAAACCTAAGTTGCTATTAGTATTTCGACAGGACTCGTGGACTGTTACAAAAAACCTGTGAATTTTCCTTCTCCAGTGAGTAACTAATAAATATATTGTCAAGTATGGAGGGTTTTTTATTTCTTTGAGAGCTCATTTGTGCTATAACTTTGAACGTTTCAGAATGTCATAATCTGTTTGTTCACAGTGCAGTTCTACATGTCAAATGTGACTCGTTTATTGTGATGAAAAAACAATTTCTTCTCATATTTGCTTTTTAATATAATTTTTTTATTTTCTTCTTGTAAAGCCAGGGCACAAAATTAGTCGACTTCATGTATCTTCATCATTGAACGATTATGACATCTAGACTGATCAAATTTACCTCGCTCTCTACCTACAGTTTTTTCAAATACAGTTACTATGAACAGTTGGCTAGTAACTGGTCATCTCTTTCTTATGTTTACTTTATTTATTTATAATTGCTTCTTTGTAAACAGACAAAATGTGTTTTCTGCCATCGGGATCCCCTGTGCAATATGTATGAAATACTAAGTATTCTGTGGAGTTTAAATTTTGTTACTTAAACTTGAAACTACAAAAATAAAATCCTCTCATAGAAAAACTTACATTTATTCAGCTTGTTTTTAAGGCAGTCAGCTTGGATGTTTCTTTTTAGTAATGTCAACTAATTAGAATTTACAGCTCACTGTAAAGAGATGATCTATGATCTATGTTACTAAATTTTACCATTTGGATGGCTTGGATTAACTGAGCCACAACTGTCACGCATTTAGTGATGAAGGCTAATGGGACTAAAGGCAGCAGTGAGAGAGCATAATGATACTTCAGTATTTCAGTACAAGTGGATTATCGTTGCACCAAAAAATCTCAACAAAGCTTTGATGAGTTATGTTTACAAGCATGTTAGGTTTTCTTGACAAGCGGAGGTCATCATACAGAACAGGTCCATCACCATGTTCAGAATCAGAATCAGAATCAGAATCAGAATCAGAATGGGGTTTATTGCCAGATGTTGAGGTTTACAACATTGGGAAATTGCTGCGGTGCTTCAGTGCAAACAATAAGAATTAAAGTGCTATGTAGAAAGAAAGATATGTGCATGAGATATACATGAGATATATACATGAGAATAAGAATTATGAGTGCTACGTAGAAAGATATATACATGAGTGCAGGTGGTGATCGGTGCCAAACATGAAATGATGCAGTGACACAGCGTAGGGTCATGTGTTAGTGGCGGGGACAGTCATGTGGTTATTGTTCATGTGTCCAACAGCAGAGGGGAAGAAACTGTTCTTGTGGCGAGAGGTTCTGGTGCGGATGGACCGGAGCCTCCTGCCTGAGGGGAGCAGGTCAAACAGACTGTGTCCAGGGTGAGAAGGGTCAGCTGAGATCCGGGCTGCACGCCGCAGTGTCCTGGAGGTGTACAGGTCCTGCAGAGATGGGAGTTTGCAGCCAATCACCTTCTCAGCAGAGCGCACAACACGCTGCAGTCTCTGTTTGTCCCTGATAGTGGCTCCAGCGTACCACACGGTGATGGAGGAGGTGAGGATGGACTCGATGATTGCGGTGTAGAACTGCATCATCGTCCGTGTTGGCAGGTTGAATTTCTTCAGCTGCCTCAGGAAGTACATCCTCTGCTGGGCTTTCTTGATGACGGAGGTGATGGTGGGCTCCCACTTCAGGTCCTGGGTGATGGTGGTACCCAGGAAGCGGAATGAGTCCACAGAGGTGATGGGGGTGTCAGTCAGGATGATGGGGGGGAGTGGGGCTGTGTGCTTCCTGAAGTCCACAATAATCTCCACTGTCTTCTGGGCATTCAGCACCAGGTTGTTGTGGCTGCACCAGGTCACCAGACGTTCAACCTCTCTCCTGTAGGCAGACTCGTCCCCGTCCGAGATGAGCCCAATGACGGTGGTGTCATCTGCGAACTTGATTAGCTCGACAGACTGGTGGGTGGAGGGGCAGCAGTTGGTGTACAGGGAGAAGAGCAGAGGAGAAAGAACACAGCCCTGAGGGGAGCCAGTGCTGATGGTCCGGGAGTCCGAGACATTCTTTCCCAGCCTCACATGCTGCTTCCTGTCCGTCAGGAAGTCAGTGATCCACCGGCAGATGGGATCAGGCACATTCATCTGGGAAAGCTTGTCTCGGAGATGGTCTGGAAGGATGGTGTTGAAGGCAGACCTGAAGTCCACAAACAGGATCCTGGCGTAGGTTCCTGGGGAGTCCAGATGCTGCAGGATGAAGTGTAGGGCCATGTTGATGGCGTCGTCTACAGACCTGTTGGCTCTGTATGCAAACTGCAGGGGGTCCAGGAGGGGGGCCGTGAGGGTCTTGAGATGGGAGAGAACCAGGCGCTCAAATGACTTCATGACCACAGATGTCAGAGCCACGGGTCTGTAGTCATTTAGTTCAGTGATCCTAGGTTTCTTGGGGACAGGGATTATGGTGGAGGACTTGAAGCAGGCAGGCACATGACATGCCTGCAGTGAGGAGTTGAAAATGCCAGAAAACACATAATAATGCTGGAAAATTGGAGCCACTTAGCCGATTTCTTTTTGTTTTGTTTTGTTTTGTTTTAACAAGTTGAATCCTTTCTTTCCAATGGCCATGTTCAAACCAGGTCAGGTAGCACCATTCATTCATGTTTGACTTATTTTGGACAAAAGAATACTTTCCTCAACAAACCAAGAAGACGAGAACTTCTTGTCCAATGAGATAGTAGGCAGCATGGTAGTGCATTAGTTATGTGTTGCATAAATAGTGCCTTGCTCTATTTGGCTGTAGGTGTGGGCATGCATTACATTATATACATTAAAAGTACTGCATGAATATGAGTTAAAAAGGTAAATGCACATTGAAGTATAAAACCAGAAAAGGGTGATATAAATCCCCGTCTTTTCCATTCATTGACAGTGACAGATGTCTTGGATCTGTGTTATCTTTGACACTATGAAATGGACACAGTACCGCTTAATTATAAAGAACATAATACAAAATGTTGTACTGAACATGTAAATAAACAAAGCAAGGAACAACGATTTTAGATTTCACGAATGTAAAACCTACATTTTAAACCTGCTAATCTGGGCTCATTAAATTTTTTTTTTCAAGAAATCCAGTCTAGTTATTTGGCTGCCTTATGCAGAAACTGTCTCCCCACCACTGGGTGTTTTCCAGTGACCTTGCCAAATTCTGTGATACCTCAAAAATGGGGAGAATTTTTCACAGATGATGTGTTGAACTCATTAAAATTTTAATGAACTGATATTTCTTTTCATACTGGTTGATTCTATAGGAAATTGAAAGTACACCAACTCTCGAGGGAGATAAGAGGTTATTTTACACACTATGAGTTCTCCCCCACATACTGGAAGCACAGCTAATCAGGAGAGGGGTGTCTTTTGACAGTTGATGGTTACATTTGAAATTCATAAAGATTGTTGAGCTGACTGCTTGGACTGATGCTGGATTCCATCATATACGACATAGCTTAATGCTAGGCCAAGCTTTCCCTTGCTGACAGGCATTGTCTCCCTTCCCTTACAACCTGCTGCTATTCAGTTTTTGTTTTCTGTGACTTCTCCTGTATTCCCTCATTCCCCACCATTCTCTTCCCTCTTGGTATCATAAAATGTTCCAATTTCCATCTCCAGGCTCCCACGTATGCTTCTGTCCTCCTACTTTCAGAAAGAACAATGAAATCAAAGATTTGTAATAGAAGATACCGTGACATGTTTCTTTATATTTGATGCCACAGAAGGTTTTTCTTTCACCTTAACATCTGTCGTTGAGATCTGACAGAGTATATACACACACACACACACACACACATGCACACACATCTAAAAGCCTGCTCAAACATCTGCATGTAAGCGCATCCTCCCACTCTCCATACATGTCCACATCCCAGTCCCATGCGTAATTCTTATTGACAATTGTAAATCAGCATTATCCTGTAATGTGAAAGCTCACAGAGCCCGTGTTGTTTGATACTATAAAGGCTTTTTGTGAGTCTCTATGACTGTCACTGACCTGTTTCCTTAGCTTGCCTTTGGTTTCCAGGAAGTCCTATTTGACTCTCTCCTCTGCATCACACAGTATTCACCAGCAGCAGCCAAACATCCCCATGTGTCGTGATGATGCAGTGAGCGTTGCCATGATGCCAGCTCTCTCTCTTTCTTTTTTAAAAGCAGCTTCTGGCACTATTGTGCAGCACTGAGCACCTCTGTTTCTATCGCTATCTTATGCCTTCTTTCTTTCCGCATTAATTCTATATGCTCATACTCTGAGGTCCCTCACTGCCTGATTCTCTTCTGCTTCTGCTCACCCCTTTCCTCTCTCTCCCTCCCTTTCACCCTCTCTCTCTTTCTTTCTCTCTCCTCACAAATACTTGTTAGCTTGGTGCTGCTGCCGGCTGGAAGCACTGGAGCTTGACTGAGGTGAAGCAAGCCCTATGAGATCACAGAGAGAAAGGAGGAGTAGTAGATGTGGTGGTGGGTGTGATGGAGTGGGGGTTGAACATGGAGGTTGTGCTATGTGAACTACCTCCTATTTCCATTCTTCAGCAGAATTTTTGAAGTAAAAGTATATGCATTAAATTTTGCTGCTACTGCACAAGGTGATATCAGGTTGGCTAACTACTATCTGAAATTTATACATTTGCTGGAGTAGTTAGAATGAAAATGCGATGTGCGTTTTGCTTTGTGTCATTTCTTGTTTTTGTTTCTAAAGCCCATTTGACTTACAATATGATAACGAGATCTGAGGATTTAAGAGGAAAAACAAGATTTTTGAAAGAGATGTTGATTTCAATGAGACTTTGACTTTTAAAATAATGTCATTTTAGTTGACATGGTAATATATATAGCATATAATGTATCTTTCTGTCACTAACAAACTAAATTGTTGATGGAAATAACATTTTTACCATGCTAAAAGTATCGTGAGCATTGGAACAACAGTGTACAGAGAACACACTCATAAAGGTTAGGGATAATCTTATGGACAACAGTGGACTGATCTCTGTTCTTGTTCTGTTAGACCTCAGTGTATCTCTCAAAGTCATTGTACTGCAGTGGTTTGAATCATATAAATATCCAGTTTGCACATGTAAGTGGGGAGTCTTAGTCACACTCTAAGGCTAATTATGGCCTTCCACAGGGTTCTGTGCTAAGACCAGTTCTATTTACATTATTCAGTATTATTAGAAGCCGTAGCATTTGCAGAAGATACACAGCTTTATCTATTTATGAAGCCAGATGCCACAGACCAACTGGTTAAACTACAGAAGTGTCTTAAACATGTTAAGGCTTGGATGACCTCTAATTTGCTGCTTCTAAATTTAGATAAAACAAAGACTATTATACTCGAAAAATCTTTCAACAAGAGGGGTGTCTAATAGGATACACTGGATAGCATTTCCTTGGCTTCCAGTAAGACTGTGAGGAATCTTGGAGTCATGTTGTTGTTCTAAAATTTAGGTTGTAATTTTTATTAATTAAGTACTAGTAGGTACTACAAAAAACTGACAATAGCTAGTTTTAGAGGAACGTAGAAACATATTATACTGTATTTGATACTGTACCCTTTTTTCAAAAAGGAGACACAAAATTCTACTTTGAGCGTGTTTATGTAACTTACATGCAGGTATCTTTAGGGTATTTTAGGGGAAAGGGAACACAACTGATTACCAGAGGTGTGGGCTGTATTGGAGTATCATGACCTCCCCTTCTTACATTATAATTACAGACTTTGGGCCTCAGAGCAATTTTGGCAACTTGTCAGGTGAATCAGAGGGGAAAAGCAGTGCTCTGCTCAAACTACTGTATATAAAATGGGGATGGGTACTGCTGGCTTCAGCTGAGTCATTAATCAGACGGTGGAAGGTGTGTCAGTATCTCACTGTCACAACTTCTGTAAAAGAAGCAGACTCTCTTAATTAGGGGAAAGACTAGGACATCACTGGAATACAGTCACTGTTAACGGAAAATAGCTCCTTGTTAGCTCAGATGTGCACAGATTTCCTTAAAACTCTAAATGTTTTAGGACTGTCTTGGTTGACACATCTCTGCATAGGGGTTTGGGTCGGGGACTCTGGATTAGCAGGCTTGAGTAAATGTGGTTCCCCTTTTTAGGAAAGGCCATAGGGTGTGTTCACATTGAAAGGGCTCACACTCCTCAGCTGCCCTAATAAGGAATCTTCCTGGATACTAGTGAGGAGAGTCCATATGTAAGTTCTCGAATTTAGTTGAAAAATGCAGTTTTCAAACTGGTGGCAGAACAGGTGACTGGTTCTTTATCCTGTTGCGGATATTCGAGGGTGCGTGGGGTTTGTCCAACCAGCCAGCATATGATTTGTGATCTTGAAGGGGGCATTTGACTGAATTCCTTGTGGTTTCTTTTAGAGGATTTTTGAGAATATGAGGTATCTGGCCTGTTGTTACAAACCGTCCTGTCACTGTGGTGAAAGCTTAGTAAGTACTGCCAGTTGAAGTATGAGTCTGCCAGCACTGCCTTTTAAACAATAGCTTTCATAGTTTTTATGTACAGAATTTCTAGGTGTAGGAAAATGGCTCTGCTTTGTTGGCCTTAGTTTCCCTTTTTACAGATGATGTGGTTCTTTAGGTTAATCAGGCAGTGACCTACAGATAGTAGTATGCAGCCAAGTGTAGGGTAGCAGGAGTTAGCACCTCCATGATGCTAATGGAGCCCGCTAACTGGTGCAGTTTGGGCATCTGACAAGGATGCCTCCTGGGCGCCTCTTGGGTGAGGTGTTCCTGGTATGTCCCACTGGGAGGAGGCTCCGGCGCAGACCCAGGACACGCTGGAGAGATTATATCTCTCAGCTGGCCTGGGAACGCCTTGGTGTTCCCTCGGACAAGCTGGAGGAGGTGGCTGGGGAGAGGGAGGTCTGGGCTTCTCTGCTTAGACTGCTGCCCCCACGACCCGGTCCCGAATAAGCGGAAGAAGATGGATGGATGGATGGATGGATGGACAGATGGACAGATGGACAGATGGATGGTTCTCAGTACTTCTTTCAGGTCAGGGACGAGTTGCTGCCCCCAGTTTTCTTGTTCACAAGTGAGCGAAGGGTGGTGCATGAAAGATGGATAGATTAGGTGTTGGCAAATGATTTACAAACAACTGTTAAGTTGAAATGTCTAATAGATAAACCTCCATTGTTAGTGAACCTGTTAACTGTAACTGTCACGGTCTCGCTGGCAGACCGTGGGGATGTGGGGAAAGGAGGACCCAAAATGCAGGACTCTACAGTGCAACAGTGTTTATTTACAGTGGTGACAATCCAAACAACAATAAATCCCCCCGTGCGATCCCAACTCCCGTTCCGTGTCTTCTCCTTTATCCCGTGCTCCGTGCTCTGTCTCCGTTCCCTGTGTACTCTCCGTGTGCTGCCTCCTGGTCGCCACAATTCCTCCTGAGGAAACACGTATACCAAAGGCAGCCGTGAGTACAAAACCTAACAGTAGACTTGCACTAACCTTGCACAATACACTTAAGACTGACGGGAAGTCACTCAACAATCCAGCGTCGAGGAGCTCTCAGCCACACTGTTTTGAAGCTCCTCTGACGAGGCTTGATCGGCGCCAGGTGTGTGTGGATTCCTGGGTGGGACCAGTCAGCTGGCAGGGCCACACCCACCAGGCCTAGAAGTGCCTGCCACGACCGCACCCTCACACACATGCACACACCCATAAACACCTGACAGTACACCAACACGGAAAACAAGACAGCAGACAACCATAATAACAATAACCACAATAATAATGATAATAACTACAATAGTAGTCCAGACTGCTCACGGACCCCGAATCCCTGGAACTGGGTCCGTGACAGTAACTGCTAACTATATAGTTTATTCTCACTTTATCCGGTGAAATCATGCACGAGCACAAAATGCCTGGGCAGAGTACAGAGGAGAAAACTGAAAGGGTTTTTTTTTGTTGACTAGTGCTACTGTGACTGCCTACCATGTTAGCAATTATCCAGCAAATTGCAGCTGTTTAGCAAACATCCCTTTACACAGTCTCTCAGTATGGATATATTCAACCCATGAGTAAATTCACTCAATTAGTAAGTAGAAATTTTACACCATTGCCTTTTTAAACCAGTTTATATTGTACCTTACATAGTGCTTTGGAAAATTCACATTATAATACATGCCAGTTGCTTTTGAAAAATATGATTAACTACCCAACCCCTACCCCACAAGTCCCTAAACATAGTTGCTATAGCAATGCCAGACTTTGAATGGAAAAATATCAGGAATAAAGCTAGAGCCTCAGCCTTGAGTTTGAGCACACAGCCAGGGAGCGAGTTAAAATGATTCTGTTTCATCAGTCGAAGGGGAAACAGTCTGGATTCATACAGAAACCTATTCTTTAAATTAGCTTTACAATATTATGACCTGGATGATAATTATGGATGAATTTTAATGAGCGCATTTAAGGAAGGTGTGCAAAAATCGTAAACATGAATGAATAAAATGATCTGTCAGTTGGAAGATAATTGCACTGCGTCATGTGATCGAATAGCTGATTATCTCTCACCACGAGCCATTCTGATAATTAGTTTAAAGCGTGATTAAAAAGTGTGGCAGTTTGACATCAGTCAGGTTGTTTTTTGTATAGATTCTTGTTTTAAACCAAAAGTGCAACACACACATTACAATATGTATCAAATGCTTTGCATGAATTAATGTGCATGTTTTAGAAAGTTAAAGCTAATAATAATAAGGTGTCATTTTTTTAATATATTTATGTCAGAAACTAATACACTGGTTGTTCCAGACGAATATTTCTTTTGGTTTTGTGTCCTGAATTGCCCTATTTTCTCCTGGCAAGGATAGAGTGGTAATGTGCGGGAGAGACAGAGTGATCCTTCCAATCAGCTTCCATGGCAACAGGCCACCGGGGGGAGGGAAGGGAGGATGAGGGACTTTGGAGTTGGAGGAAGAGGAGGAGGCAGCCAGAAGGGTTGTGGGGAGGTGGGGGCTGGGAGGTGGTAGAATCTAACGCTGAAGCATGAGGGGAAGGCTGCGAGAGGTCTGGTTTTTCACAGAGAGGGAAAAAAACTGTGTGTGTGTATATGTGTACTTTGAAATCTGAACAAAGGCGGAGAGTTAAAATAACTGCAGCAGAGCCTTCGTTATGTTTCATTCTGTTTAATAAAGGATATATATAATATATATAAGGATACATTGCAATGTCTTGTAATGTATGGAAAGTATGACATGTACAGAAACACTGTAATTGCTAGCTATCCCATCCACATATAATGAGTAACGTCTGAGCTGCTTTGCTTCCTACGGCCACTAGATGGACTGTAATCATGATAACCCAAACATTTTTCCATTCCCAATACTGTTATCAGATATATCACACA